ATATTTTGTCCAATTTTGATCAAGATTTGCGATGTGTGACTGCGTGTGATTGGACGCGGTTCCAACGGCGGAATGTCTCATGGAAAGTTCGGACTCGCCTTATCAGCGCCTCCGACTGATAGATGGCATGATACCGCAGCAAGAGGCAGGGATTCGCGCTCCGACCTCGAGATAAGAAGCGCCATCGCTGCCGAGCAGATAGTGGCTGTACTATAAAGAGATAGCCTATTCATAGAGCGTACTATGGAGTGGACTGCTGGTCTCTGCCCCTTGAATGCTGGCGATAATGGGGTGGCAGGTTTAAGCTTATCTATCACAGTAGATGGATGTGCCGGGCCGCGCACATATCTGTACGCTGCCTTGGATGCACATGTCTCCTGCCCGTGGCTTTAAATATGATAAGTGTAGTGCCTCCGCGGCCCGTCCGGACGGGCCTTGCTCTGATTCTTGCCGACTCTCCTTGCCCACTGCACAGCAACTCCCCATCTCCTTTCCTGGCCACCATCGTCACCAGTCAGCTTCCGGTTTGATATCCCGCGACGCTCCCCCCCGTAGCAGACATCAGCCATGTCTTCCGAAGGCTTGCCGGCCATCACGGAGTGGCCTGACTACTCCGACCAGCCTCTCGGTGCCGACCCGTTCAAGCAGGATGTCAATTCGCCTTACGACAAGGTACGTATGGGCGCTTGCCGAGGGCGGAGAAGAGAGGGAGGAAGAACAAGAAGAGAGAAGAGAAGTTTAAAAAAAAAAAAGCTTACACGAGATGGGATCCGTAGGGCGACCTGTGCTGGCTGCTGGTAGCCACCATCCTGTGTTGGCAGATCACGCCGGCCATCGGCTTCCTCTACGCCGGCATGCACCGCCGCAAGTCGGCGCTGACCATGGTCTTCCAGTCCCTGTTCTGCTCCTGCGCGGTGGGGATCCAGTTCTGGCTGTACGGGTACTCGATGTACGAGTCGCATACGAGCAACCCCATCCTCGGCGACCTCACCAAGGGTGTCCTCCACGATGTGCTTGCCTACCCGAGCCTAGCCAACACGGACATTCCGGATATCCTCTATGCCTTGTTTGGCGTCACCTTTGTGACTGCGACGGCCATGATTCTGGCCGGCGCCATGCTTGAGAGAGGTCGTCTCTTCCCCAGCATGCTCTTCCTGCTGTGCTGGACCACATTTGTCTACTACTTGTCCGTACCCGTTCCCACCCCCCCC